ACGGTCTCATGAAACCCTAGGTTGGCCTTGAACTCACAATGTGGTGGATGGAGGGTGACTAAATCCCTTTATTTTGGGAGGCCCAGGCCAAATGGCACTTGTGACCCTCCTCTGATATGTGTAGGCCCAGCAGGGCAAAGATAAAGCTGTGATCCTATCAGGCAGGCAGGCAAAGCCAGGAAATTAGGTGAGTATCCATAGCACCCTCCCCCGCATCACAAGCCAGGCCTCTGCAATTACCAGTACCAGAAGGCTAAGAGGAAAGGATGAAGCAGGTGGCTCATTCATTAAACAACAGGATCTCACAAATTGGGCTGAGTTGTGCAGGGACAGATAACAGCACACAGTGCTCACAGCGTTATGGGAGCCTGGCAGAGAATGAACAGCTGTTCCAGTGCAGGCTACAGCTCCGCTAGCAACAGAGGCAATGCCCAGGAACACAGTCTGGGAACAGTGAGGCCAGTAAAGATGGGCTGACTGGGTAGCAGAAGGCATCAGTCTGGGATCACCGACTCACCTGAAAGACTGCACTTCTGGAGGCTCCTTACAGCTCCGGCCTCGAAGCCTGTGCACATCCTTGGCAGCTGCCCTCATCATCTTATCTGTTTCCAGCTCACCCTTATGTTCTGCACGATCGACCTGTGAGGCAAAGCAAACAAGGGTTTGACATGGGAGAGAGTCCTCTGCTCTGTAGTGCTTGCTCTCAGCAGTGTAAATTGTACCATGGGATCTGCTTTATGCAGAAGGATAACAGGCTGTGCTCACATCATCTACCTATGAGGCCTGAGCACGGGGCCAGGGAACAGAAGTCCTATGTGTGCCTGTAGGAAATGAGATGAAATGCCCGGGGAGGTGTACATCCTTACCTGATGGGGAATGTACTGTGTATGTTTATTTTATTGATTGTTAAATAAAATACTGTTTGACCAATGAGACAGCTAGTTAGACGGGACTAGGCGTCAAAGAGGATTCTGGAAAATGTAGTAGAGAAGTGGTGATCCAAGCAGGAAGTGACATAGCAAGGAGACTCATATTTAAGCGAAGGAGAAACAGGAAGGGTCCCTTTTTCCCCTTGCTCCTCCTCCAGCAGCACAATGTGATCCACTGGCAAGGAGGGATGCCAATAAGGCGTCTGATAAGTCTTATAAAATATATAGATTTATGATAATTAAGACTGAGCTAGCAGATGAGAATCCTAGTCATTGGCCAAGCAGCTTTGAACCTAATACAAGTTTCTGTGTATTCATTTGGGCCTAACTC